TCTACTCGCTGTATTAGTTTTCTTCACATTTCAGCTGTTCCGTGCTCCGCAGCGTTTTGATACCGATTTGTACCTTTTCTTCTGGATGTTTAAAATCAAGCCCTTCTTGGCCATGTTTGTTGACACTTCCCTGATATGCAATCAACTTGAGAAAGCGGAACAAATAACATTAGTCGTCTTTATGGGTGTGAACTCAAAGAGAATTAGCATGAAAATTTCATTTTTCCCTCAGAAATCTCCTGTCATCAATCATTTATGTCTGTAAGATGAAGCGTTTGCACCATGTATATTAGACAGGATCAATGAGTTTTTTTCTGACCACTTCTATTTCTAGCAGGGCAGCGACAGTAGCCAGCATCTTCTCCCGGCAGTCCAGGTTCACCAGCAATTCCTGGAGCGCCAGAGAATCCAGGAGGGCCTGAAACAAGAAATTTTCTATATTAAACTTTGCACTTTCGGCTTACCTGGGTTTCCAGTAGGTCCCATCTCTCCAGCAATTCCCATTGGTCCATCTTGTCCCGGTGGACCAGTGTTACCTGAGAATCCTTTAGGTCCGACCATACCCTGAAGACCAGGTGGACCAGGAGGCCCCTTCTCTCCTCGAATTCCAGTGGATCCAGGCGGGCCTTGCTCTCCCTCTTTGCCAGCTTGACCTTGTTCCCCAGGAGGTCCTGGTGGCCCAGCTACACCTGGAGTTCCGGGACGACCCTCGTTTCCAGGCGGTCCTTCAGGGCCTGGTAGACCTTGTTCTCCAGGCTGTCCAGGATAGCCTAGAGCAAATCATGACTGAAAAATGCAGCCATTTCTTCACCGACTCACCAGGAGGTCCTTGCGGTCCAGGCGGACAGACACGGCAACCTTTTGCGCTCACTTGTTGCAACTGAGGTACAATTCCGGGTAGACCTACTTCACCGGGCTCACCGGGAGCTCCCGGTGTGCCATCCAAACCATCTGTCCCAGGTCGGCCTTTCGGTCCCGGTGGGCAATCGTTTACTTCGCTACACACTGAAATTGAAATCCTTGTGATTTTTGTGATTATTGATTGATTCCCGGCTTACCGCATTCTCCCACTATCTGACGCTTATCTCGCGTGCTTGCTGGTGCTTCATGACGTGCCAGTTGTAAGTCCACCCAGATCTCTGCCTACAATCCTACAATTTTT